CTCTTGTTAGTTATATATATATATATATAACAATATATATATATATATATATATATATATATATGTGTGTATTTATTTATTTATTTATTTATTCATTCATTCATTCATTCATTCATTCATTATTTATTTACTTACTTAATTCAATTGACATGAAATTCACATTAAGTTACGGAGATCGCTATAAATATTAAAATAATATATCGGGGCGTCGCGCACGTCGGTTATATTTTCCGGAGAAAAAAGAATAATCACGTGAAAATCACGATGACCATGATATTCGATTATCACGAGTCAACTGGGTGGTGAATTATTGTCGGGCACGACGTTTATTTGAATGTTCGACAGACATCAAAGTAAGCCGCGTGTGTCGACGTGCCCTGAGCTAATTGTACGCGTCAGAGATGGCGATGAGTGGGCGAATAATGTTTGAGACGTAATACAGAACAGCTTGGCGCGCTCACTCTGACCTGGATTAGCCAGGTTCCCAGAATCATCGTGACTTCATGACTTCATAAATCTCATGTGAGTTTTGCCGCGTGACGTGCGGCGCGGGAAGATTGTCTTATATTCGTCGCATTTAGAATTTACGATGGTCATATTCATTTATGATATTTGCTGATAACGGGTCCTGGAGGAGTGCACACAGACAGCTCTTGCGTGGTCCCCTGTGATTAGCACTAGACTTTCCTAATCTCAGCTTTCTGTGCGCGTGGTAATTAAACTCCTTCACCGAATCGCTGGGGTCCGTTTTCAGAAACAGAAATACTCGTAACGTTAGTCCCAATATTCTCTGTTATCTCGTAGACCGTGGACAGAAGCATAATATGGGAAAGTTACGAGACTCTCACACGCACTGTATATATCTTCCCAGTCGACGAAAAAAAGTCAACGTTAAGACTAATGTTAAGAATAATTTTGTTACGGACAACGGGCTAGCACCTGGCCCTCACCAACATCTAGCGACAATGCGTTTAATATAATTATATTCTACAAGAAGATATTCTATAAGTTATTATTCGATATACGATCGCGCACAGTGTAACTCACCTGATCTGGCCTGTGGTCGTATTGCTGCTGCTGATAGCTGGTAGAATCTACGCCTCTGGCCAGCGCGGCTCCGACGGCGACGGCCAGGAAGACCAAACAACTCTCAACTTTTGCCATATTTCTACGAATATCTGTGTAATATGTATGGGAAGAAGAGCGAGCGGCGTTAGAACAGACATCATGTATAGCTGGCAAGGGGTTGTGTCGCCGGGTCGATACCGCGCTCTTCTATGATGTATGAGTGACATGGCACGGCCTAACCCCACGTATATATATATATATATACACATCACGCTAATGAAAGAAGAAAATAATGCTTCTTGCCAAGATCGCATCATGTTCACAGCGTCACTATGTCAGCTTCATGTTTCCGCGGTGCGAGCTTATAGAGAAGATTGCTCACAAAACATGATGAGAGACACAGGAACTGTCGCGCTTCTCTGATCGCATCAGTTCTTTAATATAGTCGACTTAAATGACAGGACCTCTCTATCTACTCCGATAAGCGATATTGTACGAAGCCACCGCGCTGTTTATAGCGATAAATAATTTTCGGTGTCATATTGTTCTCATGTCACGCAGGTATACCTACGTAAAAGGGAAATTATGCTCCCAAATGGAATTTTTATTCGCATCCATGCTCATTTCACTGTACGTACTTAAGCTATCTATCACTGAATCAATGCTGATTTCGATTAATTGAACGGATGTCAGGATAATTAATTGTTATAGGAACAGAATTAATCAAACATGCAGAGATGTTAACGAGGTTGACAACAGCGTTTGACTCTTGATATGTGCCTTGTGAGAGAGCTATACGTACATCTATGTACGTAGTGGAATGTTACGGTCAGACAGAAAAGTTACATGCTATGATATCGGGAGTGTATTATAGAGATCTCTATTATACACTCCCGATATTATTAAATCCCCACTATATCATGCATAATATAATATTATTGTTATATAATAACGTATAGTATAGTATAGTATAGTATAGTATAGTATAGTATAGTATAGTATAGTATAGTATAGTATAGTATAGTATAGTATAGTATAGGTATACATATAGGCAATATTGAGTTTTGGTTTTACGACAAGCTTAGATGGAAGCTGGCTGGAAATGGCTAATGGTAATGGTAATGGGGTGGGAAATGCTAATGGCTTGGAAGCCGTATATGTGCGTGTATAGGGGAATTTTGCGGGTAGAGCGAAAAGCTACTTATATGTCTTTCATTACGTTTTATATAGCCATGGTCAGTGGCGCCCGCAGATAGAAGCACTGGAAGCACAGTTTGAATTTATATCTTCATTCCAACGTTACACGGTAACATTAGTAAATTTTGGGTTAAACAATTTTGTTCCTACTTTTTGTTCCTAAATCTCTCTCGCAAGACTCACCAGATTGCATCTCCAGACGTCTACCATTCAAAAATTTTCAAGGGGGGCATGCCCCCAGACCCCCTAGCATGCAGCGCGCCTACGGCGCTTGCTTTTTATTAGCACTGAGGATTTTATCCTTCTGTGCTTCTACTTTCTTAAGACCTGTGGGCGCCACTGGCCATGGTATATTATGACATTATTACATATATAGCTATACTATTATATACAGCCCTGGCACGCTAACTGTTTCGCAATCGAACATTAAAGGACGCACAGACAACCCGTGTCGCTATGATTATCTCGTCGTGCCACAGGTGTGCGTAAAGAAATCTGATTCCACCTTCGTTCCGTATGCAATCGCTCGCTGGTGACCGTGCAGCACATACAATTTCCTCTCGAAATCGTTACATTGTGACGGACTGTGTTTGTATTTGCTTCAGCGATATGTGGAGACGTTGCCGCGCGTCGTAACGACCACATGCACCTAGTATCCGCCCGATACTCACGTGCAAACATATCTCGCGACATT